AATAATAATAATAATAATAATAATAATAATAATAATAATAATAATAATAATAATAATGTCTTTGCAACATTATTATCATCATCATCAGTAAAATCTTCAGGAAAAAAGAAACGTTCGCATTTACGTCATATATTTCCATTAGCTAATGTAAATATTAACAATAATAATAATAATCATATAAATCCAAATGAATATTCATCACCAATATCATTTATTATTGAACAAAAACGTTCATCACGTGCACCTATTCAAATAATTGAACAAGATTTAGGTATATTAGATAATCATCATATTAATCGTCGTTCAAGACCAAAATCTGCTTTACCATCATCATCATCTATAAATGAAAATAGTGCATTTCATATTGTTCATAATCCAATTAATAATCATATAAATTTACAACATCAACAACAACAATATATAGCTTTATTAAAAGTGCTTAAATCACAAGAAATTCAAGCTGAACAACAACAAAAAGAAATAAATGAAAAACAAAAAGGTTCGAAAGAAGAAAAAAAAAGAAGAAAAAAAAATGTATATTTCATAAGTTTGTTTTAGAAATTGATTATCGAGAAAAAAATCTTCATCAAAAAGATATTGATTTTCAATATCATTTACTTAAAGAACATGATTATCGTCTTACATCAGAATGTCAAATATATACAGAAGAATATTCTATAAATGAATTAGATAAAGAATTAGAAATTGAAAAAAAATTACATTCAAATTATGAACATTTACAAAAACAAATAACTCGTTGTTCAACAACATTAGAACAAAAACGACAATTACAAGAACAAATTCAATTAAATGTGGAAAAAACACATGAAGATATTGAACAAATACAATCAAATATTAATAATGATAAAAAGGTTTGAATTATATAACATTGACTAAAATTACAATATAAAAAATAAACCAACGTTAGTATGATAGTATTTCCCTTATGATATAAAACGTAGTTGCATGTTAGTCAGTATGTTCTTCACTGAAATTCGATAATTTGCATTTCAGTCATTTTTCTTTCGATGACTGAAGCTTTTGGTGACACTCTGAGATGATAGTTACAATTTTATATCTGATGAATATTCAGAAAGAATGAATATAAGAAATATTTGCCGAAACGAAACTCACGAATATAGATGATCGAAAGAAATTTGGCAGTCTTCATTTAGATGAAATTCATATCGATGACCTCCTGTTTCGACGATGAGGTACACAATCGATGACAACTAAGATAAATCTTTATAACTTTAAGCCTAAAAGACAGATGTAGTTTCTTTTGAAGAGATGGCACATCTTTGATCTTATCTATAGAAGAGATAAGTTCATTTCTCTGATGTGTATCCTCTATTATCTCTTCATCTATCTTTCACAATCATCAATTTCTGTACGTTGAACAGTACTATATTATATACATTCATTTATGAATTCACTCAGGATCTAATTATATCATTATTATCTGATAAATACATTTTTGTAGTTAAAAGAATCTTATTATTTATTTTGATAGAATATGAATTTTCATTGTCTGAATTATTTCAAGTTAAGTCTATTTATCAAAATGATTGTTTTTATATAGAGCTTGACTCATACTCATTATGTTTAAGATTGTTCATCTTCTGAAATTCTTTCTCTATTGATATATATTTTTGTAGGATATAAGTCAATATCAACATGAACTAGAACGTTCAAATGCTACACTTAATCAACAAGAAGATTTAGTACGTATATTAACTCAACGTAATGATGAAATTGAACGAAATCTTCAACAACGTCGACAACAAATAAATGAACTTGAAAGTGAATTAATCAAATTAGAAGATTCAATTGTTAATAGTAAGTTTAATAATTGAATAAATATGTTCTAGTTAAACATTTCCTATATAAATTTTAGCCAAGTTATAAATAAAACTTAGACGAGGTTTGTTTCTTTTTTTTATTTTTGTTTTAAGCTTCAAAATTTTCATCAATCACATTTTGTACATATCACATAAATACACACATAGAATTTATTTAATCTTTAAAACTAATTTTGTCTTTTTTTATTATTTTAAGGTCTTATACATCCTAGTTATAATTTCCGTCCAAATTCATCTACTCCACAACATTATAATTCATTACCATTAACAAATTCACTTTTACCATCATCTACGGGTACAACAACAGATGCTCTTATGCCTATTCGTTTTCAATTAGTGAATAGTACTTTATGGAAATTATGTCCAAGTGGGATATGGGTTTAGCAAAAAAAAAATCTTTTTATTATGTGTATCAGTTATTTTTTTAAATATTTGAAATGAATAAAGAAATATTCGACTGTTTTAGTATCAAGTATAATTAATAATTTAATTGAGAAAGTTAGATATATTGAAATTTTTATCTATGTACATTTGATATACAATATAAGTTAAGTCATGAAAGGTATAAATGTGTTAATTAGGATATAATGCAAAGCAAACTAATCATAAGAAATGATTGATATTGATGTTGAACAAGATATTTCTAACAAGAATATAATACTATTTATCTTGAATATACTATCATAATTAATTATGTAAATATTTATCTACTTAGGACAATAAAAAATTATTAGCAGTAGCACTTTAGTATTGTAAAGAAAGCTTGAGGGAACTTTCTCTCTGTATATACTGATAGTAAAAACAATACTTTATATTTTTGTAATATTTCATCATTCTTCAATTACTATAATAATTATAAAGTTTCAATCAGAGCTATTTGTTAAGATAAGTGACTATTACACTAATGACCATTTCAAAGAAGAAGACAAAATTGAATATTTTTTGCATTATTCTTGATATAAACTAGGTAGAGAAAGAGAAGATGAAGACCTATCGAATTCTACATTACAGGTTTTTCTAGTATGCTTTTTGAAATTTAAAAAACAAAATTACAGGAAATGTGTTGGTTACTGGAGCTGCTAGAGAAATGAACTTATGAGCGAACATTTCTAAGTGTCAAATTGTTTTTGAGTCGGGCCTATGTGCATCATGAAGATTCTAATGAGCTATGAATACTCAGAAAAAGTTTAGGCTAATAGCTTATTACTGCTGAAATACTGTATTTTTTCGGAGAATGTCGTGCTTCCTCCCCCCCCCCCCCCCAGAAGCGCTAGGAAATCTGAATTTCGAATTTCGACTTCAAACTTTATATGGAGACAGGCCTACACGAGAATAGCTTCTTGTGAAAGTTTCAGATTTTCCAATTACATCTATTCTACAATAACAACATTGGAATTTTGCCATTGTATATGAGCGACGCGAAAAATATGCTTTTATCATACTTGTATCTTAGGATAGAAACAATCAAAACATTTGAAAACTTTATCAATAAACTATTTTCATTAATACGTGTCTCTATGTAAAATTCTGAAGTCGAAATTCGAAACTCAGTTTTCCGAGTCTTCCTGTCGGGACCATAGCATTCTACTAAAAAATATAGTATCTCTGCAATAATAAGCTAGTAATCCGAACTCTTTTCAAGATATTCATAGCTCATTAGGTGTACATAGGTACGACTAAAAAGCAATTTGACATTTAGAAACGTTCCTTCGTTAGAGTTTTCAGTAAAATAGGTATATTTCTTGAATGAATAAATTTTAAACATCTGAGTCTTGCGTAATTGTGTAGATCTTTCATTAGCAGCGTGAATACGTAAAAAAAACTTGCAATATACGATTCGATGGATCTTTATCTTCTCTATCTAAAAGTGAAAACCACAGCTCTCTATCTGATTTCTATCAAAAGTTATTCAAAGAGAATCCGACTGTCTCTTTTTCTCTTAAAATATTCACTATAGATATAGTCACATATCATAACAAATAACTATTATGGAAATTTTCTTATTATGATACGAGTTGAAGAATGATGAAATATTGCAGAAATATAAAACATTATTTTTACTGTGAGTACATTCAAAAAGAAAGTTTCTTTACAGTATTCAAGTGCTACTATCACTACTTTTCAATTGTCCTAAATATTATGAATTTGTAGTTTTCGATAGATTATATTGTATCTTTGAAACTATAATGTAAGAAGTCAAATTCTTTAAACGAAGTATTTCATTAAGAAAAAAAACAATCAAAATATCGTTTATTGTGTCAATTATACAGATCTAAAAATCCACTCGAGAACTTTCCAACCATCTAACAAGCATCAAAGTTCAGTATATTAGCTATGTAATTAAATGATTGATTTTTTGCAAAAAAAACGACTCTCTTTTTGTTTGAAAACTACTTTTTTTTTGTACTACGTCTTTTCCATTTATTTCTATAGAAACAAAAAAATAATGTTAAAATGTTTCATGATCGTAAGATATATTGAGTAAAAACCGGTTCCGATTTTCCTTCTTACAGCACGTTTGCAGCACGTGACCATGCGTGGAGCCTTTACACATTATAGCGGAGTGAGTGGAAAGAGATTTTTTTTTTCTTTTCTTTTTATTTCTAAAAGAATTCTTCAAATACAAAAAAACTAATATTCTATGAATAGAGATATAGTAATAGAAGAAAACAGTACTATATATTCATGTTGCTTAGTAGGTGAACAATTACATTTTGAATTTTTTTCAAAAGTATTGATAGAATTGTCTGTAAAATATAGGTTATTTTAAATAAAATTACAAGAAAAAAAAAAGAATGACTGAAAAACGTATTGCTGATCAACGACCATGGAAAGGTATGAAAGAATATTTAGTACTATATAATATAAATCATTTAAATTTTAGAGGAAATTTTCGGCTGTTGTTCGGATATGAATATATGTTGTTATGGTTGTTTTTGTACTGCTTGTCTATTTGGTGAAAATGTTCGAACAGCTAATCCAGATGCTGGTTTTTGTGGTGCCTGTTGTTTTTATTGTTTGACAGAAGGAGGCTGTTGTTGTCTTGTACATAAACCAGCACGAAGACGTTTTCGTGAAGCATATGGATTAGAAGAAGGTCATGGTGCAGCTAGTGACTTATATGCATCATGGTTTTGTTCACCTTGTGGTATTTGTCAAGAAGCACGTGAAATCAAAATTCGAGGTTAAATATAAATAAAATGGTTATATAGATATATGTTCTATTTATTGATAATAGGTAATCCACCAACAGCGGTGATTGGTGGTCTTCCCGGAAATCAACCAAGAACAACAGTGCCAGCTACAGGTGCTTTAGTCACTCAACCATGATAAATTTTGAATAATTATGATTTTATATTTATTTAATCAGACATCAATTTTGTAGATTTATTTCACAATATATTAAAGAATAAATTAAAAAAAAAACACTATTTATGTTTTATTGAATGTTTAAGAGTTTTACAAAAAGTTTGAGATAATGTGTTTTTTTTTAAAATCATTTGATAAAAATTCTGAAATATGTTTATTTATGTGTAATGGTATTCATCAAACAACGGTACATAACTAGATATTCATACGAATGTAGGCATTAGTTTTTATATTTGTTTTGGTGTCATTTTTCGTTCTTTGGTATTTATATTCATTTCTAATAATACGATTCGAGTGTGCTGTTCTCCTTTTTTTTTGTTATCAATACTATACGAAAAAGATTTTACTCATAACACTCATGTTGTTGAATCTAGTTGATTGATCATATTCAATGCAGAATAATACAGACTTATTTAAATGAATATTATTTTCTATTTTTTTTTCAACTTATTATCTTTATATTCAAACAACAATAATCATTCAACTTATAAAGTCTGTTCTTACTTTGAGATAATTATTGTAATATCCTCTGTTCAATAATAAATATCAAATATTTTTTAAAAGAATACAGAAAAGTATTTATTATTTTATGAAACACGATCTAAAAGGAGTGTTGAAGTATATGGAGAGACACTTCGACGCCACGTCCTCACCGACATGACAGTCTTCTTAGCAATGAGTTATTATAGACCATGATGAACATTCTTGATATACAATTACAGATCGTATATCAATAATATTTCGTTATAATATATAAACTAATTCCTTATTGTATTTCTAGAAGGATAAGTAAAATGATAGTGAAGAAATGTGACCTAAAATAGATTGAATAAAATAAACTCCTTGTAATTCGCAATATCAACCGCATCGTATTTCCCATCTAAATCGCGAAGGAATTGCGCTAACAGCTTTTTGTAATACTTTAGTAAATAATAAATCAAACTTCAATCAGAATTACGAATTAAAAGTACAGAACAAAAAAATATTATAAACCAAAACGAACTAAATTATTCAAATATAAAAAGTTCAACTGGTTTACAAGATAATTTCAATAATCGATCAGCAAATGTATCATTAATATACAATCATAATGGTTGAGTCATATCAAAACATCTAATGCATAGAAAAAAAATTTAGTTTATACAATTTCTATTCGATTTATTTACTCATAATTGAGATCATATGGATGTTCTTACAATAGTTCAATAATAAAAAAATTATTTTTCTTGCCTCTTTATTTAGGTTTTTAGTAACTCTATTTTAACTCATAGTCAAAATATTTTTAATATAAAATTGATAATAATTTTATTGTACTATTTTTAGGCGCGCGATACATGTCACATTTTTCATTCTAAAATATATTTATACAACAAATAGTTTATTAGGTTAAATAAAAATAAAAATAAAAAATTAATAATTCTATTTATTTTAATATATAATTCATATTAAATTTAATTTAAAAATAAAACTTCAATGCATCGGATATATATGAAACTGTATTTACATTCTAACTGCTTGACAACTTAAGTTCCATAATTCATTAGCCAATGAATGATTTGTACATAAAGATGAAACTGTCTCAACAGCACAATCTCTACAAAGTTTCAAATGAACCAATCTAATCAGTATATCTAATTCAATTCTTACTCAAAATAGAATTCATGAGAATGTTGTAGAGATGGTTCAACAGCACAAAAAATACTTGTTCGTGCACCTGTTTTCGGTGTTTTAGCTAAGATAAATTTAAACATATATAATATCGGAAAACAAATAATAAATGGAATAAATCCAATAGCTTCTCGCATTGGTGAATGAATTGATGTCCATACCCAACTAGGATTAACTGCAAAAACATCAACATCATCTATTACATACATATATAAACATACATATAGAAAAAGAATTAGAAAAATATATATATATATTAATGTACTTGAATATAGATCATGTTTGAGTTTATAGGTAAATAATAATATAAATGCTTTTGATACTGGATAAGCACCCCATAAACGAAAATTCTTAAATTGTGTAAAAGCATCTGACCAATCAATCGATCGAACAGCTAGACAAATATAAATTTCATTTTAAATGTTTTAGCAATAATTATCTAAATAAATCTTATATAAAAAACAAGTTCTATATCTCAATATTACATTTGGAAGTTGTGACATAGCTATTTTTTTTCAATTAGTTTATTCATTTGATCAATAGATAATTATTTCGAACATATTAACTTACTTCTATGTGAACCAGATGCAACATAAACAATTCGACTTGGTCGACATTGTTTTAATTTATCCAAAAGAAGATTTGTTAGTAAAAAATGACTTAGATAATTTACTTGTATAACTGTATTAAAACCATTTTTAGTAAGAAAATTTGGTGCCCAAGCAATACCAGCATTACAAATTAATACATCAAGTCGTTCTTCTTCTTCAATATAAAGTTTAGCAAATTTTCGAACAGATTCAAAAGAACGTAAATCACATTCCATAAATCGAATATTTTTTTCATTATATCCAATTTCAAAACTAAGTTGTTTTACTGCTTGATTACCTTTTTCTATATTGTAATCAACAAGTATTATACGTGCACCTATATAAAACTTAAATAAATATTTCATTCAAAAATATATTTTGATATCAACCTCGTTGAAGCAGATCTTTAGCTGTTTCATATCCAATACCACTAGCACCACCAGTAATAAGAATAGTTTTGCCATTCATCGAGTGATTACTTGAAAAGAATGATCGATTAATTCGAAATTTATTATAAATCCATGAAATGATTACTAAACAGATATTGATAAGTAAGAAAATTTATGTGAATATTGAAGAAGAAGAAAAAAAAACGTCTACTACCTAGTACAGTTAAAATGGAAATACTCGTACGATATTGATCAAAGTATTGATAAACTATTGAAAAGATTTTATCAATAGTGTTCATGATTGTTGTCATTGTAGTTTCTAAAATATGATAATGTCATGTTCTTTAAATCATTTGATCGTTAATTAAACATAAAAATAAATAGTAAATTTCTTTATACAAGATAATTTATACCGAAATATGTTTTATTTCATTCACTACTTTTTATTCCGAATTATGTTTATATTTGTACGAAATCGCAAACCTTTTTTAGAACTCATTTTGAGAAAAGAAATAAACTCATATAGAGTAAAAATACGACATTGATCGAAGAATTAATAACTAAATTGATTGACAACAACATTTTCATCTAGATAATATAACCTTAACAGCATACTCTTCTGTCAATAAGCATGCTTTTTAGAATATCGTGATTATTTTATCTGATCTCTTGTTGTTGTTTTTGTTTTGATTAACTGCAACTCATTGTTATCAATCTTACTATTTCTTCTGTTCGACTATCAACATCTTTTAAGGTAAAACAACGATAAACAACATGCAGTTATTCTTTACATTTTTCAAAACAAAAAAAGCTACATTCGAGTATCATACCATATATACAACAACAAAAAAGATACTTAAAAAAAATCATTTCATATTCCAAATAAGAAAATATATATATATATATATATATATATATTGTTTTTTTCTTTCATTATATCTATAAACTTATTAAAAAGAATAATGAATGCTAATACAGTACCTAAAGATTGTTATCTTAAATTTATTGTATAATATCTTATTATCGTGCTTGGTAATTTTTTTCTTCATACGTCTATTTTTCTCGCTATAATCGTTCGTTATAGTAGCTTACTCATACAAGTTATCTATGTAATTATATAAGTTAATTAGAAATCTGTTTTTGATGCAACTTGTACTAATTCTTTTAGTATCTATTATCCGTGGATGCTAAGACTAGATGTGACATGTATGAGAAAATGTCTCACAAAGCTTGCTAGTTTTATTGGACAATAATGAATAATTTTCAATTATTGCAGGGTGTAAGTCTCTCCGTCTATGTTCCTATTTATCATCAAGAAATTCGTTTGAATTTTTCTTTACCAAAGATTTTAAACATATACTATTGATAAAAAAAAATGTCGTCGATAATAAAAATTTATCTATCAATCTATATCATATTCTTAATTTAAATTTTAAAATAAATAAGAAAAAATTTCAATTTTATATTTATTTTTAATGTGTGAGTGTATAAATGTTAGAAAAGCTGCCACAGAATGCTTACAAACACAAACACATACACACCGTATACATCATTCATCAACCTCTATAATACAAACAAAGAAATAAAAAGAAAATGGCCACTTCTATCTGAGAAAAAAAAAAGAGATTCTATATACAAAAATCATCATCTCTAGTCGTAGGTTGATTACTCTCTTTTTCTTGTTTATAGGAAAATAAAAAGGAATTAAACATAGATAATAGTAGGAGGACCAGTAATCATATGAATTTGAGGATGAGACAATTGTTGTTGATGAGATTCATCATTGTCACTACTAATTATTTCATGTTCTTCTGCTTCGTCATCATCATCATCGTTACTACTGCATACACTACATTGTAATATAGCATCATCTTCAGTCCATGTAACTGGTTCAAGTTCATTATTTGATGAACTCGTACCTATTGTTGTTGTATTCGTTTCAATCATTGAATGTGTTGATGTTTGTTCAAGTGATTGTAATGGAATATTTCTTGATGATGATAAAATTTGTTTTGTATTATTATGATTATGATTATGATTATGATTATGATTATGATTATGATTATTATGATTATTATTATTATTATTATTATTATTATCGTCATTATGATTATCATTTAATGTTGACATTAAATCATATTTAACATACGAAAATATATTTGATGATGGTCTAGAATTAATCATAGTTGAATGATGAGAATTTGTAGGTGAACAATGATGAATTGTTGTTAATTGATTAGAAGATGATAGAGATCTATGTCGTCCATGTAATAATATGAAAATAAGAATTAATATAACAAAAATAAGAATAAGG